ATTAAAAAATTTAGATGTTTTAAAACATTTAAAACATGTTTTAAAACAGGTTGTTTTAAAACATTTGCCATCCCTAGAAGAAAGTAAACAAATTAATAGACAGGCGAATTTTTATTAGGTATTTAGTAGTACATTCAAATCGTACCTCTTAAACAAATGATGGATAGCACTCAGGGGTATCAGTTCTGCCAGATTCGTGGTATGCTTGTAATAAATTCATTAATTGGAAAAGTGTCTGTTGTAGCAGTTGGTATGAGTATGGTATCTTCTGTAGTCCTCTCCGTTAATGAAGGAGATAAAGTGAAGTAAGGGGATGAGATATCTTATTTTCAGTATGGTGGATCTGACATTGTTCTCTTGTTTGAAAATAAAAGCCAAGTTGACGTAGTTGCTCAAGAAGGTATTCTTTATAGAGTGGGTGAACAGATTGCTATTGCACATTATGCACCTTAAATTATCATAAAATTCTACATTTTTCGCTCATAATAAAATGATGTAGGTTAGCGATAGTGAACAAAAGAGATAATGAGTTTGAATACGGGATTTGTACGTGAGATAAATATAAGGGATGCAATAAGAATTATAATGAAGCCAATGTTTGTACGGGATGTGCAACACGTGTATATAGTCGTGAATGATACTTGAATATGTTATATATGATTTATTATAGACGTCAATGAATAACAATATGTGCAAGACTAAAGTAATATATGAGATATATACAGTAGTAATAAGAAAATAATTAATAAAATCAATAAAGCATCGTGAAGATGTATTCACAGAACAGTAATAATATGATCATTAATAAATAAAACAAGGTGTGTGAAGTTGTATTTACAGAATGGGTAATATAAAGTGAAAAGAATAAAATAGAAATAAGAAGGTTAATAATTATAAGGGAGGGAACGAACCACTATTATTATGAGGGAACAGACCAACTGAAGAGACAAGCAAGGCGAATTCGAAGGGCTTTTAATTACATGCCAACTAGATTCCCTCCCGATACTAGTACAACGCCATTCTATTACTAATCCTTATTTCCTACCAACACCAATAAAACTTACTCCTCACTCCTTTATCCGACTCCCTCCGAAATACTTAATCAACGGTAAAAGCTCTGTCCGGTTAGTAGAGCGTGATAATAAGTAAATGCATTATGATCAAACGTTAGTGACCCGTTTGATGACCAGTTACTCCATCGTGATTTAAAGGGATTCAACCTTATAACTTCTAGTTTGGGAACCCAGTAATATGAAAAAGGGTAGTAAGGATAGATCGTAGCATCATTCGTGTACTGTATTAGATATCAATGATTATGCCTTACGCGTCGATGGTTGATCCCAATATGGTATCTGAATATGGAAATAAACTAGGTGTATAAAAAAAAATAGGGAATAACTAGATATGGCAATAAGAAAACTATCGCTATGTATCAGCAGAGCGGGCTTTCATTGTAATTGGCTGATTTTTGTAGATCATCACATGATATTACAAAAATATCATTGGTTAATCGAAATTATTCGCAAAACAAATTTTTAATCTAATATAATTAATAATTAAATATTTATTAATACCATATAAAATCAATTTAGCATGAATAAACGCATTACTACGAAATCTATCAACTCAAAGTCTAAAACCATCATCCCGAAACAAAAAAACCCAAGATCTTATTTTTAAAAAAAACTATATATTACATACATACAAAAAAAAAAAAAATTATAAAAAGCACAAAAAAACAGATAAAAAAAATATGAACCATGTGTTTTAAAAGACTATAAAAATCACGTAAATAATTTTTTTTATTGTATATAATAACAGTTTATTAATGCAGAACGAATTAGCCATACTCTAAATTAATAATCTTAAACGTAACACTATGCTTTAATAATAGACGTAACACTATATTTTAACCCTCATAAAGTTCGCAAGCTCATGCTTTCATTGCTTCAGATCATTAATCTATTTACTGGCAGTATGTGTCTGTCTTTAGAAAAATAAACAAATTATAAATAAAATTTGATTAGTGTTGTAAAAACTTTTGAAAAATGGCTCTTTACCAAGTTTAATACAGTACATTGTAGAATATACTGGTTAAATTAAACATTTAAACATACCTCTTATCTAACTTCCGAATTACATCGTCAATTACCGAATTACTTTGGTGCCGAAGGTGTAGTTTCTAAATCTTTATGCCATAACCTTGCCAAATTCATACTCGTGGCCCCGAATTCATTTTTGTGCACTCTTGTGATAGCAAATCGCTACTTTAATAAGACTTTATTATGATGAGATGATCTTCACAAATCAACCAATCATAATAAAGCCCGCTATGAATAGGATAGATATACAGTGGAAAGACAGGGGATATCGGTTATACAGTTAACATTGAGAAACTAAACTTGTGAATCATAGTTGCGCAGAATTGAAAAATCATGTGACGATAGTGACACCGGTTCCTAGTAAGATTTTTTTTTAAATATCTTAACTATAAATATTATTAAAGTTTGTATATTAAATAGAATTATCAAGGTATTGTGCTTGAGATTAAATTATATCTAACTCAATAAGCTTCTAAATAGTAATTTTTAACAAATATATATTACTTTAGAAAATACTTAATTTAGCGATACTTATATATTAATAGTAATTAGAACTAAGAATTAATACTTTTTTTGACCAATATTACTGTACTATTTTTTTAATTTTTTTACTTGAATAAATATAATATATCTTAATAATTATAATGTACTGGTGTTAATACTTCAGATGTGATTTAGTACAATTGTTTTATATATATATCTATATATTAAAATTTTTGATCGTCGACATGTCTGTCGTTACACAAATATAAAATCGTATGTCACACAGAGTTATATAATAAGCGTCATTAAATAAATTGTGTATGGCACATAATAATCTTTGTAATATTTACTGTTTGCTTATTTTATATTCGCACTGCTAATAATTTTTCGAAACGTCTTGCCGTGTAAATTTATTTGCAACCACGTTCAAATAATCGATTGTCATAATGTTTTTAATCTTAAGCAGACTAAATTATATACACCACGTAATATAAGGTAAATCATGGGCATCTACGTATCAAAAAATACTAGAATGTTATAAACTCCTGATATGCTCAAGACAGGCGAAAAAACATTTAGCATTAACTGTTGCGCATTGTCTTATAGAATATTTCGTATTTTAGGCGCGATTTTGAGCATATGAATGAAATTGTACCATAAATTTTATTATTGAATAACAATATAATAAAATCGTTATTTTTTGTGGTTTTAGTTTAAAAGCGCATGCTAAAGATTAGATGCACATAGCTTATATAATTTTTTTATACTTGTTTACTTATTTGATCTAAAAACTACATAATTCATCATAAATTATTTTATACCACTTGCAGAAGTTTTGTTGGCAAGATTAGTCTCACAACCCAATTCAGAATGGCTATCAAGTTTTATGGTTTGAATACGATCGTGTGAAGCCATCATTAAGCAATAATTCCAGTACACTATATTTTGGTAAAGTTAAAATTAGCAATTTATTTACTATTTAAGCCACACCTTCATTATTAAAGTTCCGTAGTATTTATCATCGTTTCACTTTTCTTATCTGAATTTGGGAATAAGCATACCATACTATACCAACAAAAATACTTCAAAGTCATTCGGAATGGTGTCTATTTTCCGTCAAGGGGTATTTTTTTATACTGTTTTCGTTACAATACGTAAACATAGAGAATTTCTGGTTAGATCAGTATCGTATAAAAATGAATTATCCCAAGAGTTTTTTTTTTTATAGTGTTCATTGAAATTTATATACGTAAATTCGATTTTCCGATCTCGAATATAACTCAATTTTTTGTTGATATTAAGTTCTGTCATTTTTAAGGCTTTTGTTGCAAGACGTAGACACTATTAAAAATTATGTAAAATTTTAATTAGAGCATTAAATGTATAATAGTTAATTAGTATAAATTCTCTAAATTCAGAGATCTCTTTTTTGTGCTACGTTACATGCAGGGGGCCAATCAGATAGTAATTTTAATTATCACGTGTATTATAAATACTGCTAAAAAAAAATGCCATGTAATTCTTTCTTTTCTTTCTCACTTTTTTTCAGTTATACACGTCTAAAATGGATTCTAACACACAGTCTACTCAAAAAATCCTTTGTAAATGTAAAAATCAGATAGAACGAGAATGATATGCAAGGTGTATGTTATGTGCAGAAGAAACTCCTGTAGCTGAATCTTCTGAAAGCCTTCATGAATGAAAAAACTGTTTGGCCAGAGAAGCCCGTGCTCGATGTATCGCAAATGAAACAATTGAAGAAGCCAAGCAATGTCGAAGTGCCCAAAGGCAATTATATTCTCGCTGGGAAAACGATGAACAAATAGAATTGCGCAAAAAAAAGCAAAATGAAGCTAAACGTCAAGTTACTAATGCGGCACGTGTTGATAATTATGATACAAGTGCTGTATTTCCACACAACTGTGGCCACATGAATGTTGTATATCTTGAATGTAAAGCACTTCACTGGATAGAAGAGAAGGTTTCCAGATCAAAACGCGCACTAGTTTTTAGTAGTTGTTGTGCTAAGGGTAAAGTACAATTGCCAGCTATTGCAACACCACCTACATTTTTACGCACCCTTTTAACTGAGAAAAGTATGCAAGCACGTGACTTCCGTAAAAAGATTCGTATATATAACTCTTCCCTTGCGTTCACTTCCATTGGTATTAAAATCGATGATTATGTTACCAGAACACATGGTGTATACAATTTTCGCATTCAAGGTGAATTATATTATCGAATCGGCTCTATTATGCCTGAAAGTCAAGATACATCATTCTGTTCACAAATTTATATGTTTGATTCAAATGAGTAACTACAACGACGACAACAATTAATGCCAAATCTTGATCCTACTACGCTTTCTCAACTTCAAACTATGCTTTCTAAAGTTAATCTATATGTACATATCTTTCAAAATGCAGCCCACATTTTAAAAGAAAATCTATTACAAGATTTAAGGATTGTTATAGCCAAATCAAGACAGGGCCTTCAATATATGCCTCCTACTGCTTCAGAAGTTGCTGTTCTTATGGTCGGAGACGGTCATGAAGTTGATCCTTCTAATTGAGATATTGTATTACATAAATGGGGGCAGTGGTTTCTAGCGTATCTCAGAAATTTATCAAAGCTATAGACCATTGTATTATGTTTTGCTATTTCTATATGGCAAATCAGAATAGCATCCAGGTATTAAGCTAAATGACGAACAACATATATCTACAACTACTGTTAATTCAGATAATGCAAGTGAGATTGAAATTGACGCTACAAATGACAGTACAATTAGAGACTGTATTACTATAATGCAATACTATGTATATCGATTACAGTTGCGGATTTCTGAACCTGGTAAGATATTTGTACTACATAGAGCTGGGTGTCTGTTTCAGCAATAT